CAAGTCTTCTTTACCTTGAGACTCTTTACCTAAGGATTTCAGGGCTCTCTCATCTTTCCAATATCTAAACCAACTCTAATCTGAGACAAAAACTGAATCCTGATCTTATAGCAGCTCTCTCTCTCTCTCTCTCTCTCTCTCTCTCAAATCTCTTGTTTTTTTAATTGTATATTTTTGAGCTCATGATTTTATGGTGAATTCACATTTGAACCTGTATGCCTAAATTAATATATATTTTCTGATCAGTCTTATTTTATCTAACTATAGAGGATTTTGCTTAGAGGACAATTTTCAAGGGTCAGCTCTCAAGTAACATTGGGAAAATTTCATCTTACAACAAACAGCTACAAGATCTCTGTCTCCTGTCTATTTTGTCTGTATATGCACACTTGTGTGTTGTGTTGTTTTGTCTACATATATGCTTGTGTCTACATATCATGTACATGGTATCAAAATTGCTATAGAAAAATGAGCACTCAGAAATTATAATTTAAATGAGAAATGGATCCAAATATCTTTGAGTTCATATGACTTAAAAAGTTCAATTTAAATTAGGTAAACAGGGCTGGGGATGTGGCTCAAGTGGTAACATGCTCACCTGGCATGCGCAGGGCGCTGGGTTCGATCCTCAGCACCACATAAAATAAAATAAAGATGTTGTGTCCACTGAAAAAAAAACTGAAAAATAAATAATTCTCTCTCTCTCTCTCTCTCTCTCTCTCTCTCTCTCTCTCTCTCTCTCTCTCTCCTCTCTCTCTCTCTTTAAAAAATAGGTAAACAGATAAAAATAAATATGTCTTTAAAATCACTAATGCAAGTCTTTACGAAGTTAAAGTGCTAACTGCTAAATATAAAATCAAGTGCTCTTCTTAAATTCTTTAAGGTGATATATTGAAACTTTATGTATGTTTTCATAAATAGAAAAATGTTTAAGATTGCTTTGTCTTCTTCACTGAAAACAAGGTTACTAAGAGTTAAGATTCAGTCAGTTGGGCTTCAATTAAAGTACCATAAAAACAAAGTATTTCATCTTATTAAAGTGGAATAATTTGACTAAACTTAGAAATTTCATAAGGGTTGTTTCAGAGTGTGAATTAAGAAAAGGGTAAACAAGCTAGGAAATAGATACAAGAATGTTCTAGGCATGGAAATAAATTTTAATATAGAAAGTAGAAGGAAAAATTAATGTTTCTAGATAAGAAAGTCTTTGTGTGGTAAAGTAAAAAGTTGTAAAATGTCTAAATAAGTTGCAGAAGGTTTGTGGAGGGTGAATTTCAAAAAGTTTGTGTAACTATGTTAGATATATATAATTAACACAAAGTCATTTAAGATTTTTTCCTAAGGTCAATTATTAATGTACTGATATAAACCAAAGTTTGATCCTCTATGGTTTAAAGTAACAAAAACATTAATCTGCTATTATCTATCAAGATAATTGCTTATGTTTGTTAAGTTTTATTCTTTAGAGCAACTGGCCTTAAAGGAATTAGGGTTTGTAAAACTCTGGCTAAACAACAACTGTTATTTTACAGTATTATATTACATTACAGATTCTGGATATTTCTCTAAAAGCTAAACTTGGTCAATATAAAAACATCAGTGTAATTATGCTGCTATTACTGTCCTCTGTATATTAAATGTATTCATATATTCCAAGTACACAAGTATATAAAGTATAAGATTTAGACGAGCATTTTACCGAGCTGTTTTTCTTCAAACTAAGGTTTAAAGTAAAGGTTTGGGATTATAAAAGTTATGTTTCTTAGCTCATAGCTATTATACAAACTCAATATGTTTTTACTCTTGTTAATTTCGTTTTGTATTTTCCTTGTAAACTTTTAACTGTTGTCCATTAGTGCCTTATAGAAATACAACTTTCAATATAACAACCTTAGTTAATCTGAGATAGCAGGCCATCATCTATAGATAAACAGGATGAAAGGCTAACTTCCAGTACTAATACTGACCCCAATTAAATAAAAGGGTTGAATGACTGTAAAGTTATAGATATTAAAATTAAAACCCAGTCTTACTTTAAGACTGCTGAAACTGGCTTGATGGTTGTTTAAGAATAAGTCTTGGAGATTAAAGTTAAGAAAGTAAAAAGGCCAAGAAAGAAAAAAAATAACCAATATTTGGCTCTTGCCCTCTGGGTCAGCTTGAACCTAGAGTACAAGGGAACTTCTCTAAGAACTTCTCAGAGTTCTTCAATTCTGAGCCACGTGACCTCCTGATCAGGGGATCCATGAGACTCTGGAGAACAGAAAGCGAACCAGTGCACATACTGCAGACAGGAGGGTCATTGGAAAAGGTAGATCTTGCTAATGCTTCCAAGGGAAGCCACATGGTCAAGGAAACTCTGATGCAACCTGACAGATGGTACTAAAGTTGCTAAGGGGCTACTCACAAGTTCCCAAGAGTGACCCCCCCGAGGGAACTCAGCTGACTCTTAACAAGAGATAGCAACAAGGTCAATTTGATCAGCTTGGTCTTAAACACCTAGCAAAAATAGTTATAACCAAAGTATAGCCGTATCTGGGCATTTAAAAGAAAAGATAATGGTCTTTTGTAGTAGAACTTAAGACATACATTTGTGTCAGCCCCACAGCCCTGGTGCTGTTCAAATACTGAGGAGTTTCTTTATGAGGCTCATATTTATCCCTGCCTACCAAAATTCAGACTGGCCTCTGCATGTTGGTCTTCCTTACTCCTCAAATTGATGTTTTACCTAACAACCAAAGTTTGCCTATCTTGATAACAGTGCATACCAGACACAGGAGAGCCTTTCAGTTTATTCCCTTACTCAAAGGGCTACAGATATCTGCCAGGATTGGCACAGGAGCAGCAGGATTAAGAACCTCTATTTACTACTATAAAAAACTCTCAGTACAGGTTATTGAAGACATTCAACAGGTTGCTGATTTGGTACTGACCCTACAAAATCAATTGGATTCCCTGGCATCTGTGGTCATGCAGAATCATCATTGGGGTCTAGATCTCATTACTGCTAAATGAGGTATCCTCTGCCTCTTCCTTGAGGAAGAATGTTGCTTCCATGTCAATCATCAGAACTGGTAAGAAATAAGGTTAAGCAACTCCAGGATCAGTATGAACAACAGAGATGAGAAGAAGCCAATGCCTAAAACAGTGAACAACATCCTGGCTTCTCTCTCTTTTTAAACCTGTTAACACTCATTTTTCTTATAATAACTTTTTCCTTGCTTTGTTAACTTAACACAGAAGCAACTTCTTGATAAGGTGTCCTGTCTAGCCCAGACTATGCAGAAACCATTCTCCTCCTTCACTCACAATGTGATTCTCCTGAGCCCCATAATGAAGGAATCACCCAAAACAATGTCAAAGTTCCCTCCCTCTACACTCTCCTTAAGCCACAACCACCAGGACTGTATAAGAGCCTAACATACCTCCAACCTCCTTATCCTCTTCCAGATCTCTGACAAGAGGATCTCCTACTCTGCCCCTTCTCAGCAGGAAGTAGCCATGTATGATAATGTCACCCCTACTCATTATACCCCTATCAGAGTCTGGAATAAAAGATATAGATAATAGCCCCCAGCAAATTTCCTTTGTCCACAACTGTTCCTCTACCTGCCCTCCTGCCCCACCCTAAATGAACGCACCACCAAAACTCCTCCCATGAATGGCCCTGCTAAACCCTATAAAACACAGACTCTTGTTGGAGCCTGTCACCATTTTCCCCTTGAAGATATGCCTCTCTATTGCTTAATAAAGCATCACTGGTCCATTGAAATCAGCCTCCATTTTCTTTTTCTTGTTGTATTCTCTTTCATGTGCTTTCAATGTACTGCCAACATTATGGCCACTCCCCAGCTAATTTCTAATGTTCTAATAGAGACTCCCCTCTCAGTTGTGTCTGCAGTCATTCTCCTTGTCATCTCATCTGTTGCATGGCTTGAAGTGCCACTTATATCCTGTCTGTCAACTTGTACTTTTATTACTCCAGTCAAACCCCTCACCTGAACATTAGATTCACAGGTACCCTTGCTTACTTGGCCTCCATTTAGATGTCACTACTCCCACATCTTCACCTCAATTTTCTTTCCCAATTATAGTAACTTTGTCCATAGTTTATACCCTAGTGTTTAGGTCATAAACCTAGGGGACATTCTTGATTCTTGCCTTTCTCCCAAAATTTGCATCAAATTATCAACAAGTCTTATTGGATTTATCTTCAAAATGTTTTCAAAACCTAACTGCATCTTCCCTGCTCTAAAGCTTTCATCCTGACCTGTCACCTCTCACTAGCCTGTAGCATCAGTCTTCTCATTCCTGCCCCTGCTCTGTGCTGGGTCCTGGTATGTCTTTATCTCAGCAGCCAGGGTGACCCTTCTAAAACAGATCAGATCTGGTCACTCCTCTATTCAAAGCCCTCCAGTGGCTTCCAGTTTCACTCGTAGTGAACACTACCACTCACTCTCCATGATCTCACTCCTCCAGGCCCTCTGGTCTCCAATTTGTTCCTCCAGCATGCTCTGCCTGCTCCTTATGATCTTAGATTTACATTTACCAGAATGTGCTTCCCATGTGAGGTCCACGTGACATTTTCTAAAGTGTCACCTTCTCCTACCCTTCCCTGACTATGCTAATTAAAATTATGATGGATGGATTATTTTAGGAATACCTTATTTGCATCCTGTCTCAATAGATTCAATTGTAATAGGAAACAGCATCCACCTCCAAGATTAAAAAAAAAATTACTGTCAAAACTTCTGCTTTATCACCAATGAGCTGATGCCTTGGGGCAACTTGTTTTTTTGACCCTTGAGGTTGTTTCCTCAGATGCATAATCAGATTAATGTCCTGTGCACTCACAAAATATTCCGATTTAAGTTATAAACAATCATAGGGCATGCTTTCAACCCAAAATAATATATGGCTGATCCTTGTTTCTTCTGAAGAAGAATGAGAATAGCTTTAGTAAAAAAGATTGGGACCCTCAGTATTAATGAAAAGTTTACCTTTTAGAGCACACAGACCACACATGGCTGCAAACACTGTAGATTCCATTTCAATGTTCCTCACACCAGTTTTGTATGCTTTTTCAAGTAATCTAACTTCTTTTCTTTAGAAAAGGAACACAATGCTCCATCTGGTCTGGTCAACCTTGGCCTGAAAGAGAATGGAGAACATTTAGTGACCTGATAGCCCAGCAGAGAAGTAATATGGCCCAGAGATTTGGTGTTGGCCACAGCATTTTCAGGTATCTCCACCCCTTGAGCCTGCTCCCCAGGTGGGATAAACCTGGCTGCTGAGTCTTTCCAGCAGAAGACCATGGAGCAAGGCTGTGTCTGACTCAAGAGTCTCATATGAAGAGCACAGCATCTCTAGCTATGCCCTGTTCTGGGGCCAGTAACCACTGAGTGACCTAGCACCCAGCATCGGGCCTAGAGACTTCAGGAACTGGGGTCTTGCTGAGAGAGCTATCCTTCCAGAGAAGTCTCAGGCTGTCCCAGTGATGGGGAGATGGCCAGGTAGAAGAGCTGGGAGAGAAGAGGCTTCATGCCTCAGTGAGACTCCTAAGGACCTGGATGGGATTTGGATACTGCAGCACTCCATATGGCCATTGAGACAGCAGCAGCCAGATGCAGGCAATTAGGGGTCCACTTTCCTCCCTTCACACTCCCCTTGGGTTGCATGACACCCCTCTACACTCACTTTTTCTGCTCCAGATTGCTCTCAGTGTTCATGGATCACTTTGTTTCACTGGGGTCAACTAGTGGGAACAGAAGGAAGTAGATACACCCCCAAAACAGAGCTCTTCTCCCCTCCACACTCCTCAGGAGGTCTAGCTTAATAATATTTTGTCATCATCTGTCATTAGCACAGTCTTCTTTTGGGCTCCCTTTGCTTTCTTTACCCCCTCTCTTCTCTCTCTTTCATGTCACTTTCACTCTGGAAGTCTGCTTCTCCCTGTTCTCTTCTCTTTAGCACTGCTGACAACACTTCTAACAGCATTATTTAAGCTGATTCAGACTCACCCACCACAAAAGCCAGGCAGGTAATGTCAATGAGACAGTTTGCCTAGTCCAAAAGCAGAAGTGCCACCAGTCCATGTGGCCCCAGATGTGGGCCAGGGCTTGCTTGGGCTGCCATGCATATATCATTTTCTATATTTTATATTATCTTATATTATTTCTTTTTAAATTTTTTTTCTTAGTTGTAGTTGGACACAATACCTTTATTTTATTTTTATGTGGTGCTGAGGATTGAACCCAGTGCCTTGTACATGCCAGGTGAGTACTCTACTGCTGAGCCACAACCCCAACCTCACCTTATGTTATTTCAAAAAGCTAAACATCTGGATTCTCATATAAAATCTCTAGAAAGAAGAGAGGTTGGAAAAATAATTCATACTTTTAAAAATACTGCATAGCACCCCCCCCCCAAAAAAAAAAACAACATTGACTCCAACAGGCCACAATTTGCAAGCTCTATCTTAAACACATTGCTGGATAACCCTCCAGATGAAGGGTCTGTGAGCCAGAGGCTTAGGATAGATCCAACACCACTCCTATTTATAACCAATATGTAGTGAAACACCTTTAATAACCTGAAGAAAAATGTATAAACAATGCAACCTATGTCCATTCATGATTTTTAAAAATTCAGTAGGAATTCTAATTCAGAAGGAAAAGTAGTTCAGAATGAAATCATAAGATGTTGATACAAATTTAACTATACTGCAAGATTTCCTGAATGCTTTCCACATCATGGTACCAACCCTGTAGGTTCCTTCTTCTGGAATGAACAAAGTATGTCCTTGAAGGACTTCTGCCTAACCCTTCACCCCTTAGACCAAAAGCTGCTACTTAGCAATGACTTTCAATTTGTCTCTAAACTTGGTGAGAGAACCATTTACTCATGGCTGAGAGATAAAGGCACCACTCTGAGACCACCCCATCCCTGTAAGATTTGTTCCCTCAGACATTTCTTTCCATTTCTTGGTCCCCACTCTTGCCTAGATACCAGATCGCTTTTGAGATAAGGGTGAATGGCAGAAACATAGAAGCAGCATATCTCCCTTCTCCTAGAGGCACCAATTTAACTTAAAGACATGAACAAGAGATAAGATTCTGTGAACATCACTAATTGCATTTTAGTATTCAATTTGTTCTTGGAGGATTAAACCCACTCTCAGTATAAATTAATTCTGCATGTTTCTCTGCTGCTTATTAGGCCCTTATGTTGCTATGCTTTGGTAAGTTAAAAGGCTGTTTTCGTTCCTTTTTTAATCCACAGCTATTAATTTTATAAAGTGGGATTTTTAATATAAATTATGGACTTGAATAACAAAGAGTTGCTAACATTTTCCTGTTGCCTTCACAATTTATAAATTCTTCTCACCTTCATAAAAATCATGTTCACATTGTATGTCCAATGAGGGTTGGGAAGTTGGGAATTTCTTTGCTATGGTTGAACAGTTCTTCAGCCAGTTTCTTGTCAAGTTCAGTACTCCAAGTGACAACATTGTCCAAGATGACCTGCTCAAACCGGGGCTAGAAGAAGGAATCTACAGCTGTATCTGTTATGACAACAGACCCTGTGCAATCCCTGCAATATGGGAATAAATAAGTGATTACAGAAGAATATCATTTAGCTTTTACTTTTGTGACACATAGTATGTAACCTATTCTGCCAACATTAATTAATATTGGTGGCTAATGATCCTCCCTGTTTTCATCTTTAAAATTATTTTCTTTTCCAAATGCAATTAAGTAACATCCAGAATAGGCATTTCCATTTGCTGTCTTTCCAGATTCACATTTACAATGTGATGGGGTTTAGATTTCAAGACAAACATGACTCTTGGACATGCAAATTAGTACCAGCCTTCAGGCTCAAATTTGAATAAATTAGGTCAGGAATAAACTAAATGAGACTGCCAGCAAGTAGCTTTCATAAAGTGATGTGACTACTTGATATTTAATCTCCTCTGCAACTCCTTGATTACTATAATTTCTTGGCATCTCCCTCCTCTTTTCCTTCTGATTCTCATCACATTCGCTCCCTCTCCTCCCTGACTCCATGTAAATTAGGCCGCTTGGCTGACCTTCCATTGCTACAATCTGGCTTGTTCAGGGGACTTGGGCTTACTGCAGGAACCGTTTCTGCCAGCCACTGCTCTCCCTGCACTCATGTCCTCCCTGACACCTTTTCACCACACTGACACCAATTCATCCTTCAGGTGGCAGCTTCAGTCACTTCCTCAACAGGTCTGAATCCATGCAGGAAAATAAAAAAATAAATAAATATAAACAACTAAGAGGCAACACTATAGGTTACATTGAATTTCCCAGGCCCAGATGTGACCCAGCTCTTGATTCATTCTGATTGCTATTTAGAGCCTGAATAAGGAGACATCTTGAGACTGCCCTAGACTCTCTCTGTCTTAACACTCATCACATTTTCACAGCTACTTGTTTATCTGTTTCTCTGATAGAACATAAAATCTATAAAGACAAGAATAATATCGGTTCATTGCTGTCCCCCAGGTCTCACACTGAATTTATCACACTATTGGTACTCAGTAGAAATTTATTGCATGAGTAAATGCTTCCATAGAGATGTTACAGAGCACAGGGTCTGCAAACTCTAGTCTACAGGCTGAATCCTACCTGTCTTTGTAAATAAAGTTTTGTTGCAACATGGTCAGACCCATTCATTTACATAATGGCCTCCACTGTTTTCAAGCTATTGCATGGATCACAGAAGTTGCAATAGAAACCACTCAGTGTGGAAAGTCTGAAATATTTATTACCTAGACATTTATAGGAAAAATTTTCCAGTCCCTACTATGAAGCATAGCCTGGTACTGGGTGGTATAAATTCCACATCAATCAAAGTAGAATTAATTATAGAACACTGTAGCAGTCACAGCTACCAACCCAAGGTGGCCTCTGGAGATAGAGCTTTCATGGGTCAGATCCTTTTTAAATAAGACAAACAAGTGGTTTCTTGATTTGTTTACAATGTCCTAAGAATAGGAAAGCAATTGAGAAGGAGATTGAAATGTGTACACCCAAAATGATGTTATTCACATGCCATCTCAATGCTTAGATGCATTAAAATATCTATGTCATGGTAAAAGTCTCTAGAAGGTAAAAAATACTATTTAACCAAATACTTTTTCTTTACCAAGGTGTGTTCACCCACTTAAGGAGTGATCATGTCAGCAAAGGAATAAGCTATATCTCTTTCATCTCCAAATGCAATGTTGCCTAAAATAAAACAAACAAATAGATCTTATTTATAATCTAAGAGTACTTAATGAGGATATAACTCCCAAATGAAGGTGTTCACACCAATGCACTGGTTTAATTTGACAGCATTCATAAACCTTCATTGAGATTTTGGTAATGTCTGCAGTACATGTCATGTTGCCATGGAACAAATGACCATGATTATGAGCTGGATGGTCACCAGAGTGTCTTGTCCAAGACAGACACTCATTAATATCAAGCAGCAACTGCAATAGTCAGGATGGTATAATGCAGACAGATCCTTGTATCCCACAAGAATTATGAGCGACCTTAGGAACAATGTTATCCCAGATGCATTGTTCCCTACTGCTTACTTAGTTGATAAAACAGGCATATCTTTGAAATTTTTTAAATGGGGAACACTTATTTCTGTCACTTAGAAAATTTCTGAGCCAGTTTCAAAACTTGCTCTCTACCCTCAATACATATTGTGAGCTATTCTTCCATTCTTTCCCATATGAACATCAGAGATCATTTTGGCAGTGAACAATGGGATCTCTCTTTCCAGGTTTCCATGGAGAAAAAAAAGAAAAATGCAATAAATGTCCTTCAATTACCTCAAGTCTAGTCTCCTGACACTTTTTGTCCCACCTGGATTTCTGTTGGGATCTGAGTATGTGGGTGTATTTTGAATGAACGGAAGAATGTACATAAAAGTCTCTCAGTTTTAATGGTAAAAAAATAAATCCAACTCACCTATTCCCCCTGATGTACCAATTCTGATAATGATGACATCACAGCACCGTGCATGATGTAATAATTTGATGAATTTATGAAGCATAATAGAAATGGAGGGAATGCCAATGCCATACTGTTAAGAGAAAAGAGGAAGTCATCATACATCTCACAAATGGATGCGTGAACAGGACATATTGTCTTCCTTTATTACAAGTTAACAGCCCTCAGATAAATTTACATAATCATTAAGACTTTGCCAATGCTAAAGAAAATGTAAGTCATCTCTGACGCCTACTGACATGCTGATGGATGTGTCCATCTGTGAGGATCAGAGAGAGGCATCTTGTTGTCAGTTAAACTGAGCCCAGTCCTGCTTGTCAAGAGCAGAAGTGGGAAATGGTGTGGTGTACAGGTGTGTCAGGGCAGTGCAATTTCTCGTCTCCCCCTTGAGTGCTTTCTGATAAGCCTATGTAAGGAGCTCTTTGCACAATTGACTTAATATAGAAGAAACATAATTTGGGCTCATGCCCTTCTCCACCATAGTAAGTGAAATAGGAAATCCATTTCATGGTTCTCATGTGGCCTCATTTACTTGGCACAATTCTGTTTGAGTTTGAAGGGTTCCTGGGGAGAGCTGTGAATTTGATTCGCACCTAAGAATCTGGAACTTATTCTGAACATGTGGGTGAGCTTAAATTGCTGTAGATCATGACCAAAGCCCTGGTTTTCTTCAGTATTTAGAGCGGTAGAATTAATGTCACTAGAATAAGGGTTAACACAGTCTAGAGGATTTAGTGGCTTTTGATGGTTATACTGTGCTCTAATAACTCCCCAGAAAGATTTTCCATTTAGTAATTTGTAGAAACTGAAACAGTTGTATTTTGATGGCTACTTTATTCCTAACATAACAGCAGAGAGTCAAATGTATTCCTCTATGTATTTTACTCTGAGGCACAAAGACGTTGGAAAACCAATGAAGCCAGGTCTACAGTGTTTTCACCTGACTTCCTTCCTTCTCACCATCAAGAATATTAAACTATGGAAAGTTTGAACCTCTGGGTTCACCATTTTTTGTTATCCACCCAATATGCCCCCAACTTCAAAATGCTTATAAGCCTCCTAGGACGGATCAGGAATCAACCCTGTACCAATTTGAATATTCAAGATTAACACGTTGGGGGTTTTGTCACTAATAAATAAATTGTCTAAATATCATCTTCCTCAAAAATAAATTATGAAGATAAATTGTTGTTTGATCTATTAGTTTCCTTCTAAATCCAGCACTTGGTAAGTTTATAATTATCACTTATTTTGCAACATGGTGATAAAATGACAAATGTACTTATGTGTTTCTCTTAAAGTTGTTCTCTCTCTCTCTCTCTCTCTCTCTCTCTCTCACACACACACACACACACACACACACACACACACACTCCTCAGCAGCTACTGGAAAGGAGGAATTTTCAAAGGGGTCCCTATTGAAAATCCCCTGCCTGCCTAGTAAGACTCATTTCTAATTGGCTGACCTTGGTGTGATACATATTTCAGATCTTTTTCTTTGACAGGCAAGCAGGGTTCGTCTCTTGCTATTTTCATGTTTTATTCTGAAGCTTTACTGCCATTTTTAAATAAACCTTCCCCATTTACTGTACCAGAAAAGAACAGTTTTGATCTAAAAGACCAGCAAAAATTAACAAGATGAGATTTGCCAAGATTAAAGGATATTTGGCTTTCTTTGAATGCAGAAATTCTATGATTGTCTATTGAATGAACAAGTGAATAAATGAATGGATTCTGCCATTTGAGCCTGAAGCAGGTTTCAGGCACTATTGCCTAAAGGGGAGATCAACTTGGCTGCCCCTTTCGCATTAAATACTTCTTTCTTTGTTACCCCAGACTTCCATTCATGATCACCCACACTGCACCAATGAGTACTTTGAGTGATAAATGGATGTGACTGACCCCTGGTGCAGACATGTTTACAATTCAGCTCCTTAGAACTGACATACCTCTGCATAGCCTCTCCCCCTACTCCCTGGACCGCCTTCTTTCCCCTAAGGAGGACTTCAATGTTCACTTAAGTGATGGACTCAGCTCTATGGAGATAGACTAGTTGAGAAAAGTAGGCTGGGTACCCATGTAGAGCCACCCACCTAAGTATGGGCCACTTAGGGGAAATGATCTGTGTATCCCCTAAAACTTCAAATCATTCCACTTTGATGTTGTCTTAGGACATTGTGTTTGTCCAGATCTGTTAACATATTCTAAATGAGGGGACAGCATCACAAGAGCTCGGTAGAAATGCAACAGCAGCTTTTCAGCAAGTTTACTATAGCATGAAGCGGCCCTGCTTTAGCAACCCTGAAAATTGGCCCCTATGCACTGAAAACTCAACATTTGCAAACCTGGAAAAGGAATAGAAGAGAAAAAAAATCGATGGGGAGGGGAGGGTATTAGTTACAAAATAGAGGAGGTAAATGTGTGCTTTGAGGGGTTTTTCCTCCCTTAACTTCATTAACTAATAATATAATTATAAAATGAAGTGATATTAAATGCTCTGCTCTGCCCTGAGGACTTTTTCCAAGGCAGAAGAGAATGTTATACCTGGACACCTGGCTGATTGTGCAATACTGCAAAGCAGAGGGAAAAGAACTATATTCAGAAAGTTCCTACATTGTTCTCTAGCCTGGGAAGACCTGGTATCAGGCAGCCACTGCACACTTAGGCTGATGAAGAGCACAGGACCAGTTTTGAACATGCAATATCTGTCTGTTCTAGCGCAGATGTCTTTAATGTCTTCTCCATCTCCCTCCAGTCTGAGCTCCTTGTGCATAAACATTGCAAATGCTCTCATCCTGTTGGGGCTTCCACCAACGCAGACAAACTGTTAATAAAAATAAATACTTGCCATAGTAACTGGGATAAGAACCAGGGGTTCTTTCAACTCTAATGTTTTAAATTTATTGTTTAGTCAATTTACTTAAAAGTATGTGTAGATGTCATGGGTTATGCTTATGAATTAATTTGTGTCATTAACCAGTAAAGAAGGCAATCAGATGCAAAATTTTATGTATTAAATTAAAGAAAATTAAAGTAAGTGTTGATATTGTTTAAGGAGGTATTTCCTGGTGTTTTTGTTTAGAGTAACATCAACATGCATGTTAGGTTTATACAAACATCCTAGTGATGATCATTAGCATGATTTATGCTTATTAGGTAAGTACTGTTGACATGAAATACAGGTAGTAAAAGGGCAAAAAGAGAATTACCAGTTTTACATGTGTTTTCTGATTCCACATCCCCATTTGTAAGCTTTTATTATAAAATATACTATGATAACTTAAAGCTTTAAACAAATCATGTCAAGACTTTTCAACTTCTCATTGAGAAGGAGTTATCATGGAATAAGCTTTCTTATTATAAATTACTGCAGTATCTCATATGCCCCAGTGATATGATTCTGTTTTTGTTTTGTTCACTTTTCAGTCTCTCAATTAGGTAGGTGTTGAAACTGAAGGTGTCACATCTAGTAAAATATGCTAACAAAATCATAAGTAGATGCTAATCCATAATGTGGGCAGGGTTGAGTGGAAGAACTTTAGATTGGCCAAAGGGGAGGGAGGAGGGAAGTGGGAATGGGGGTAGGAAAGATGGTGGAATGAGACAGACATAATTACCCTAGGTACATGTATGATTGCATAAATAGTGTGACCCTACTTTGTGTACAACCACAAAGGTGAAAATTTATGCTCCATTTGTGTATACAATGAATTGAAGAGCATTCTGCTGTCATGTATAACGGACTGGAACAAACAATTTTTTAAAAAATGAAAAAAAATAGAACATTATGAGAAAGCACCATCTAGTAATCAGGAAGTGGGCTATCACTAGATACTGAATTTGCCAGCACCTTAATCTTGAATTTTTAGGTTCCAGAGCTGCGCAAAATAAATTTGTTGTTTCTAAGCCAAATAAAAAATAAAAAATCTGCAGTTACTTCTACAATAATCTGTTAGAAATACTTCAGCCTGAGGGATGGGAGCAGTAGATTCCAGAGAGGGAAGCAGAGTGGCCTGCTGGTGGTATGGATGAACAGCTGGCTGAGTCAGTACCAGGGTCAGCAATAGAGAGGACTGGCAAAAGCAGAGAGCCCATAGAGGGCATCAGGCACACGGTCTCCCAGGAACTCTCAGTGATGCAGTGTTGAGAAACTTGAACACAAGGAAAGCAACATGGTGGTCAAAGCCTTGATCTTCAAGGTTAGGTAAACCCGGTTTTGAACCACAGCCCATCACTTGGACAATGTCAAGTATCAAGCCCATCACTTGGACATAACTTGGACAATGTCACGTATGTATTCTCTCTGTGCTTTAGACCATCATCAAAATAGGAAAGACAGTACCTCTCACAAGGCCTGTCAGGATAAAATGGCATTGCATATGGCAAAGGACACTGCACAAATCCAGGCACCTTCTCAGTGTTCTACAAATGCTCATTATCATTTTTTTATCATATAATAATTTCCTAGACCTCCTTTTGAGCTTGTTCATTGTTTCTGTATTGCAGAGTTTAGTACAAATGAAGCAGTTTCAAGTTCTCTAGTAAAGAAAAAGCAGTTGGTGATGTCTGACTGATGTGGGCGGCATTGGGCAGAGGAACTGAAGAAGGGCTGGGGAGATCCATTCCAGGGATAAAGAAGATCTGTCTAATGAAATACCTAACTGAGGTTATGCAGTGGGCACCGCCTGTAGAAACAATTGTCTATAACTATTGGGTGGTCTGATTACATGATGTATTTTGTTTGCATTTAGCAATAATTCTTGGGCCACATACACTCATTTTCAATTACAGGATGTAATTATCCTTTTATTGAAGCCCTCTGTTTCTTATCTATACTTATTGTCTTTTCTGTGGCTTCTCAGTAGTTTTTCAGATGGGGCCTTTAGCTAGTAATGAACTTCAATGGAAGTCAGCCACTAGGACCGTGTAGCATGAGGATAAAAACCAGTGTTTAAGTTTTTTTTTTTTCAATTATTATTGATTATTCGTGGATTTTGTCCTCTGTTGGTATGGGTAGTTAAGATTTGGCTCAAGATCTAAGTATAAGAAGACTCATTAAAATTTTTTTAAAAAGAAGAAGAAGAAGATACAGTAGTTTGAAAATAACTTCATTGTGTGGTGCCTGTGAATGTAAATTACAGTTATTCAGATTGACCATAAAACTGAAACAGATGTTAGAATAGCTTGTGGTTTGAGCTCTTCTTTGAACTGTAGATACTGCTGTAATCAACAGGGATTTCTGAATATTTCTGGAGACATAAAGATGATACGCATGGACAGAAGCAGCTTAGCTCTTGAAGCCTTACTCCTAAATCAGACTTACTAAACATTACTTCTAGACACAATTTTCAGACTGTCTGCTTTAATGAGAAGTAAAATGTGGCTGAAGACCACCAACATTGACCTCCAGTGATTTATGTTATAAACAAAATGATTTTGTCCTGGTTTTATCAAAGAAGATAGAAATGCATTGCAAATCAGAGGCATTGCAAAAGTATGTCAGGTACTTTGCCTAATAACTGCCAGGACAAACCCACTTTCAAATATCCCCAGTATCTTAATTTTGCCATGTTTTATTAATCTAGTACATAAATGTAGTTTATATATTCTGTATGTTAACAAAGGGCTATAAAACCCCTTGAAAATGCATATTTCAGAGTCTTATAAAATAAAGATTTCCCACATTACTTGAAATTTCTAGGGCTACAGTGAAGGGTGCCAATTAGTGGTTTTATAAAAGACATTTGCAAAGACATTATAAAATATATATTTGGATGTTGAGTTTGAAAAATAACTTTTAAGTTCCTCACATCACATTTTTCAATTGTTTGATTATTTCCAGTGAGTATGATAGAAACTAAAAAAGCTATCACCAAAACTGTTTTCCTTCCGTCCTGGACACACATTGGATTTTAACTTTTTAGCCTCTTTTCCAATTAGAAGCTGCCTGAGTTCCAGGCACTAGGATATGAATAGAAGTGATAAGTGTCACTTCCAGCTCCAGCCCATAGAAATCCTACAGGTGATGCTACACATCACCTCCTGTCATCTGCCTGATGGGAGTTGACACCCAGGGAAGCTGCAAGCCACCCCTTGAAAATGACAGAGCAACAGATGGGGGGAGGAGCCTGGGTCCCAGAATCACTAGTTTGAGGAAGGCCATCCAACAGCTAGGAGCACTATAATGTGGGTGAGAAGTAAGCTTAATTGTGCCAGGTGAGATTGTGGAGTATCAGACTGGCAAACCTTCAGGAAAAAAAAGAAAAGAAAGTGGGGTGTGGTGGTGCATACCTATAATCCCAGTAGTTCAGGAGACTGAGACAGGAGAATCTCAAGTTCAAAGCCAGCCTCAGCAAAAGCAAGGTACTAAGTAACTCAGAGAGACCCTGTCTCTAAATAAAATGCAAAATAGGTCTGGGGATGTGGCTCAGTGGTTGAGTGCTCAATCCCTTGTAACAAAAAAAAAATCTATATATCTATATATATGCAATCTCTCTCTCTCTCTCTCTCTCTCTATATATATATATATATATATATATATATATATATATATATATATATATTTCTGTTTAAACTTTACACACCTAGAGTTCTGTTTTCCTTTAAAGACAATGTTATTAATAATGATTATCATCTTTGTGAGGACAAAGCTGAGTTTCCAGGTACTGATGGATTATTCTCAGCCAAGATTGCTTCCCTGGGACCTAAGAGAGTCAAGAAATTGAACTCAGAATGTCCTCATTTAAAGATAAGAATGTAGCTGGTAGAAGGCAAGTTCCTGAGAAAAGCATCTGTGGAAATAAATCAGACTTCACCTGCTGCTTCTCAAAATTCCGGTTTCAGTTAAATAGCAAGTTTTGATCATTAGAACTGTTTCCTGCTTCTCAATCTCCCCCAAACACACACACACACACACACACACACGCACATGCACGCCTCCTATCCGTTAAAATGGCCCAATGGGTAGAGTTGCCCTCACTAGGGACAAACCAGATTCTGAAAAGAGCATGTATTTTAACCAAAAGAGCATCTATAGAAGGTTCCTCAATCAGGTGGATGGGGAGATGAAAGGTTGGATGGTAGTTCTGACAGTGTGAGAATAGGTACTGATGAGAACCCAGTCAGCTACTGAGTTGGAGAAGGGAAGGCCTGATGCCTGGGATTGTGACAGAGATGAGACTTCATTTGCCTATCTGAGCACATGCATGTGAATGTGTGTGGTAGTCTCCTTATTTTCATGTCTAAAATAAGACTGTTATTTAATCTCCCACTGATTTTCTAGAAACTAACAGAATAGTGCTTTAAAAAGTTTGGGAAGAACAATTCCTTTTTTATGAGAGAAACCTAGGATTTAATCCAGCTCTTTCACTCACCAGCTGTGCTGTGCCTATTACAGACAGATCAATATAATTAGGAATAACACTACAAAGATGCTTGGGCCCCAGTTTCCTCATCTGTAAGATGGAAACTATAATTACCTAGGTTGCTGTGAGCATTGGATGGCATACCATTTGTATATCTGTGCAGAGTTGGAGACACAGAAGTTCACTCCATAAGCGATAGAGCAGAGATGGAACCTGTGCGTGTACATATAGATCATTCTGTCTCAAAAACATACCCTAAGTCTCTTGAATTTGCTAAATAGATGTGTGCCTTAGTTTATTAATTATGATGAGCTTTCTATTCATCAGTCATCCCTCGATAAGCACCTGGGACAACAATTGTGAAGCACAGACCTTAAATCTAACATTTAAATTCAGGTGAAATCCAGCTATGGAGAACCAAGGGCAGCCTCGACCAGTGACTCTTAAAGCATGAACATCAGAAACAACCATAGGGAAAGAGGGTACATTGAAAAGATGAAGCAGAAGATGAACAGAGGCAATGCAAAGGCTAGGAACAGCAGTCTAGAGGGGAATGGAGAAAAGGGCGGGTCAAGTCCCTACCAATAAATCAACCCACAAGCTCACATCTTGCTCCCTAACAGAAATGAAGGGAGGAAGCTACTTAGCACCTACTGATAACAAGCATAGTAATTCTGGGCCTTCCCTTCTTTTATTTTTTCCTTCCTTCACAGTTTTCCTTCCCACCTCCTCCTCCTCTGTTTCTTCTGCTACCTAACCTCCTCCTCTTCTTACTCTCCTTCCTCCAGATCCAGTGAATGGACTTCTCTGACTTCCTGTAACTTAAGAAGTCCTCCGGGTGATGAGCAAGAACCCCGAAAGCAAGACCTAGAAGAAGCTGGTCCATATTATAACTTTAACCTCCTCTGAACCCTCTGCACTCAATTACTTTGTTCTATAAAGCTAGTTAGTAACTGCAAACCCTGTCTCAAAGAGCTAATGTGAAGATTTAGTGAGACAGAGGATGTGAAAACTCTTATTTTTATTGCTCTAACTTCTAAAAGAGTGGAAAACAAATCAGATGACAGCTACAAAATTCTCCGCTGGTGGACCGTTAAATGTTCTTTAAAAGTTGATTCCCTTTGACCATTTCTGTGACTCATTCTAAACAATCTTAAGTGTGAAAATTTCTTAGAAACAAAAATATCCATTTGGATTCTTTTTATAATGGAAAATAACATAGAAGTTGGTAATAAGTTATGTAGTTTGTGGCACGGCCACTTCACCTCCATGAACAACATGTTTCAAAGAAAATGTAATAAAGGAAAACATTAATGACAAAATTAAATGAAAATTGTAGGATTCAAGGTTATGTCATTACAACTATTTTAAAGTATACTCATTAAAAAGCATTGTAAGAAAAGAAAATGGGTTGATAGTTTCTGTGTTGAGGTAGTAAGACTATGAAAATTTTTTTAAAATAATTTTTTTACACTTTCTAATTTAAAATAATAAACATGAATTGCTTTATAATTAAAATATACATAAGGTAAAACAAATACTTCAGAAATATAATTTTTCTGGCGGTAGTATATGAAAAATTTTATTATGAAATAATAAAAATCTTAATATAAAATATTGAGTAATGATTATTTTCATGAAGTGGAGTAATACAGTACTGTTAGTTTTTGTGAGTTCCTTTTCAATTTAATAAAATGAGAATTAGTGAGGTTCACCAATAAATGTAGACATTAAGAAGTGAACTGACTCCTTTAAAACATAATGAATTCTAAACACCCAACAGTATTATCAATAAAATTGTATTTATCTCCAGAGACCAGAGCAGCCAAATAGTCATGTTTTCATTAAATTGGGTTTGAAAATCTTTATGCCTTATTGGGGTGGAAATTATTATTCATGATGTTCACATTCTGAACTGTTTTAGAGAATCAGTGCAGATTTGGTTCCTATTGGGGCCTCTGACATTTCTCTAGCCAAGGGGATAAAGTTTATTTTGGTAAAGCAACAAAAATTAGCAGAGGAAACTCAATCATTTTTTCTGGAATTAGAAATATGTTTACCTTTACATCCCCACACATTGCTGGTAGATTGTGTGTTTTTGTTCCTAAATCCAGGTGATAGAGAATGTCTTCATCCATAGAATCCAGGTAAGGATTCTTAACATGATAGAGAATGCCTTCATCCGTAGAATCCAGGTAAGAATTCTTAAAGGTTTAAGGATTCTTAAACCTTTTTCTGTAAGAAAAAAAGCACATATATACAAAGAGGATGTAAAACAAATTGGTGAGAAAAAGCACACAAAGAAAGAAGGATCTCAGACTATATCTAAGATTGCCGCTAGCCCAAATGCTGGGCCCAGACTTTCTTTTATAATAAAATGTGGTATAATAGTAGTAATAACAATGGCTAGTATTTGCCTTACACTTACTATGTGCCAGGCATAGAACTAAGTGTTAAAATTGTACAATGGCATGAAGACTGCCTATAACAGATGAGGTAACACATTTAATCCTATAACTACTCTGTAGGTAAGTGAATTAGTAATTAGATTTACAAATGAAGAAGCCAAGACTTACAGATGATGAGATAATTGTGGAAGTTGACACACCCAGTGGATTATAAAACAATCATCTCTGCTCCATTCACTTTGACCCTCTAGGTCTTCTTTCTCTCTGGGGGATTATGTCACATAAGCTACTGGGCTCTGGAATCAGATTGCCTGGGTCCCAGTACCAGCTCAACCTTGAACATACTAATTGTGTAAACTTGGGTAAGTTATCTTTGTCCTTTCATTATCTCATCCATGAAATGGGTAGCGAAAATTACTGCTTTGTAAGCTTAATGTGAGCCCTGAATTAAATATATGCAACACAGCTGATAGGCATGAACATACTTCTCAGTGTTAAACCTCTCACCTTGAGAACTTAAAAGGTAGCAGCTTTAGTGAGAACTATCAGAAAAAGTGTAGCAAAGAATGCTATGCATTTGTCAAACCCCAGTATTTTTTTTCTTCTGGAAACAGAAGAAAATTAGATTATATTCTCAGTTTCCTTCTCAGTAAGATAAGTCACCAGACTGTTCTGACCTAGGAAATGTGTGTGGACGTGACTTCCCTATTCCAGGCCAGGCTTGGGTGGAAATCATGGGTCTCTCAATGGCCATGTGGAATAGATACCCCTCTTTACCCCATTAACCTGTTTCATTTTAATTTTATTTATTCATTGGTGCTGGGTGATTGAACCCAGGGTTTTGGGCATGCCGGGCAAGGTCCCTACCACTGAGCTACATCCCCAGTTGCTACTCCATCAACTTGTTCTGGATTAAGAAAGAAGCTACTGATCTCCAAGCAGCATTAAGCTGCCTGACCCATGAGAGGTTATTAATTTGGGTCAATGTATTTTGCCCATTAGACAATTTAAGAGAGAAATAAATGTAGTAGGATGATGGGTGGAAGCAGAGATGAATAGGCTCCTGGAGAGACTGAACACGGATGTAAAAGAAAGAATGCCTAGGCATATAACTCTGGAAAATAGGACTTAGAGCTGACTGAGAAAGGAATGTTCAGGATAAGCATGAAGGAGAAGAAGTGTGGTTAAAATGCTTGAAGAAATAGGAGTGAAAAAGTGAAATACTGAGTTTTAAACCCCTGAATCCAAAAGGATATAAAACTATTGTAAGAAGGTAAATGAAACTTTAAAACAAAAGGTAAGACAAGAAGAACATTTCAATGTAGAAATTCAGCAGCATTTTCCCAAAAAAAGAGTATGGGAGAGGGTCCAAAAGAGCCATTGGGAAGGCAAGCTTGCCATAAAAGAAGGACCATTGCAGGAAGGACCGTTACTGGAGGGCTTGGTGTCCACCAATCATTCCACCACTGGGCGTGGCTCAGTGGCTACTTATTCACTCCCACTACTCCTAGTGTGACACCCCAGCCTCAGCCTTGCCTACACCATCCTTCCTAGCCAGCTGTCGCTGCCAGTCCCCTGCTCTTTCCCTGTGCATGATTATTACCCCATTCCACATAGGCCAGCAACCTATGCTCCCACAGCCACTTTTCTATCTTCCCTGATGAGGGCTGATCCTTACTGCTATGTCTCCAACCTCTGCACCCTTCTTTGTCTCCTTCTCAACTCTCCATGGAGTTTGTGTATGTCTGGGTCTGAGTATATTTAGGTATGTAAGCTATGAATCTTGTAGCCTGTTTCAGCTCCGTACACCAGTACTTCCTACAATTTAGCATGCCTAAAAATCGCCTCTTTCAGAAATTCATGGCAGTACATTTGGGATGTATGCGTCATTTCTAACAAGCACCTTATTGGCACTTGTGTTCCTGGTCTGAAGGACACACCCTGAATATCACTGTCACTGAGGACCCCACTGACCATGCTGAGGACATCCACTCCTTTCCAACCAAGGCCATCCTTAGGCGAGGTCCCCAACACAAAAGGCCTTCCCCTATCACACTAATTCTTCCTCTCTTGTTTGGTAAAATCCACAGAATGCCAGACAGTAGCTGCTGCTATGGGAAGAACCTTAATTCAATCTAATTCATACTTACAAAAGCACACTCTTGGTTATTTGGGTAATAATTACATACCACTCTAATTATTCGTGATAAATTATCTACCTCATATCAAGACATTTTTGCCAAGAATTAACTGAGACTTCTCTGGTTTTCCCTCCCATTTCTCTCCAAATATTTTAAAATACCTTAACAAATCTCACAACTTTGCACATCTCCAGTGACTCTTACCCTGATTGTACATTAAAAGCACCAATGAGATTTTTTAAAAATCACTGCTCACAAGGTGAAATTAATTTAGATGATCTGAAAGTATTTTTAAGTCTTGCCAGATGATGGGATGTAGACTCGTCCTGTAAGTCTTGCTTCCTGAAACATCCTATTCCCTTCCCTTCCATTTTTCACTTATCAAAATATTAATCAGGGGCTGGGGTTGTGGCTCAGCGGTAGAGCACTCACCTTGTATGTGCAAGACCCTGGGTTCCATCCTCAGCACCACATAAAAATAAATAACTGAAATAAAGGTATTGTGTCCACTACAACTAAAAAATAAATATTTAAAAAAATACTAATCATTCTTCAAGCTCCAATTGAAATATCATTTCTTTCATGAAGGCTTTTCCGAGTATCTTCCCTCCCCAATCAACAGTATTTTATTCCCTTGCTGTGCTACTAAGGCTTTTGCTTATTCTAATGCTGTTAGATAACATTTCATGTTGTAATAGTTAATTTTTTATCTTCCCAGAAATATTGTAAATTCCTTGATACAAGTGGTCTTATATGTCTTTCTTTAACCCCAAGTCTTAACAAATCCTATTTATTAATTTGAATTTAACTGTTCAGGAAGTGAAACAAAATATTATTAATTTTCTCCTCAAAAAGTTAGAAGTAACAGATTCCTAAGTAGTTAGTGGGTCATTCCTTGTTTGAAAAATGAAGTATTCCAAGATATTGCTATACTACTTCAGGACAAGCCTGTAATCTCAAAGCAGGACACCTCTTTTTTTGTCTTTCGAGAGGCAAGAGAACATTTACGCAGTCCCTCCTCATGCTAAGTGTGTTCTACAAAGCAGCAGGGGCATCATGGCCTAGGAGCTTGTGAGAAAAGTAAAAGCTCAGATTCCACCCTAGACCTACTCAATCAAAATCTGCATTTTAACAAACTCTAGTTATTCACATGCACATTAAAACTTGAGAAACTCTGCCATCCACTTTCTCTTCCAAATTCCACTACACTTTCTATTTCACTCCTCCAAAACTATTTTCATGATCTAGAGATTTTCTTTTGGATTCCCAGATGAATCTACAAATCATTACTCGTATTCATCTACCCTAGTGCTTCTAAATTCTAGCTACTTATCAGAATTACCGTGGCAACTTCAAGGAATACTGACATCTGAACACCATCTCTAGGATTTTGGACTCAGTTGATCAAAGACAACTGGGCTTTTGTGTTTTAAAAGATACATGACCTACTCCATATTTCCTTCTTCAAGAAGAAATTCTCAAACCAGCACAGTTATTAATGATATTAATGATATTCTCTTATACTAAGTATAATGCTCTTGTTCATTTATTTAGATATTCTTTTAATTTCTTTGATGATTGGTCCGAACATCTAATTGTAAGAAAAGAACCAAATGAAGGAAATAGAAAGGGAAGGCAGCTCAACAGTAACACAGGTTTATTTGGGACAAACCCATGGAGGGGGGCCCAGTGGAGACTGAGACCCCTCCTTCACTTAAAGCCTGGAGTAGATAGAGGGCAAAGAGGGAGGGGAGAATTTTTTGCATTACTAGGGGGTTGTTAGGGAAGGGTCCTTGTGGTGTCACCTTCATAAGGAACCAGGTATTTTTCAGAATTTCAGTCCCCAGATAACAATTTCCTTTCTTATGATATTGTTTGGGGTTTTGGTCAGGCTGAGTCAGAGAACACTTGTTCCAAGATGGAGAATATGTTTCAAAATGGTGTTGCTTATGTCAAGTTCTTCCTAACAGTAATAACTCCTCAATCAAAAAATTTGGTGGCAGGTGAGGCAAGGGTGGGGGAGACCTATGGAAGATTTTTTTGTTATTGTTCCATTTGCTCATGGAAAAACACTTCTAAGATGATCAATCACTCTATCAGCAACCAAAGGAAAGACTTGTTGACTATTTGGTGTCTTCTGATTACAGGTGAATTTTAGGATGGTTGGTTATATTTCAGTGAAAAATGACATTGAAATTTTGATAGGAATCACACTGAATCTGTAGATCACTTTGGGTAGTATGGATATTTCAACAATATTAATTATTCCAAACCACAAACATGGAATATCTTCCATGTATTTGTGTCTTCTTCAAGTTCTTTCTTTGATATTGTTTTCAGTGTACAGATCTTTCACATCCTTGGTTAAATTTATTCCTAATTATTTTATTTGTTTTGATAGAATCATAAATAGGATAATTTTCTCTATTTTTTCATATAGATCTTTAGTGTTTAGAAACACTTATGATTTTTGTTAGGTAGCCAGTCAGCCTTGAATGGTTGAGCAGGGAAAGGTGAGTGGAGGACTGAAAACCACAGGGAGCCTATCTAACAGAAATCACCTAGAAGATGGAGGTTTGCTTTGTTTAAGGCTCCCCAGCCATAATCACATCCTCCTGAGAAAAACTACTGTTTCAAGATGATGTCACACCTTATAGGTAGCCTGAACAATCTCCAATCATCCTGGCCACTAAAACATCAAGACCCTCACAAGAAAGGTTGCTGAGAGCTACTCAAACAAGTTAAGGGAGCAGAATATTGAGGCAAAACTAAGGGGACTCAATTTCCTAAAAATTCCTAACTCTGAGCACCAAACCATCCTCTCTTGGAGGTGATCCACATAGTTTCAGTACTATCAGTTAAAAGTCAAGAGGTGGACCCTGGATGAGACTCTGGAAACTTTTCTGGGACCCCCAATAAAACTGGACATCAGGAGACATTTACCAAAGAGATACAAATGGCCAATAGGTACATTTAAAAATGGTTAACAAACCACTAATCATCAGGGAAATACAAAGTCAAGTCACAACAAGATATTGCTTCACACCTGTTAGAATTCTGGCTATCTTCCAAAAGAGCAAAGATAACAAGGGTTGGAAAGGATGTAGAGGAAAGGGTACCCTTACACACTGTTGGTGGGAATGTAAATTAGTATAGTCATTGTGGAAAACAGTATGGGAGGGGTGCCTCAAAAAAATAAAAATAGAACTACCATTTGATCCAGCAATCACACTACTGAGTGTATGTCTAAAGGAAATGAATTTAATATATCAAAGATATATCTGTGCTCTCATATTTATTTCAGCATTATTCACAACCACCAAATTAGAGAATCTTCCTAAGTGTTCTTTGGTGGATGCATGGATAAAGAAAATATAGTATGTATACACGTACCCACAAAGACTAGTCAGCCTTTAAGAAGAAGGGAATTCTGTCATTAGTGACAACATGAATGGAAACGGAGGACAGACACAGGAAAACAAATGCTATCTGATCTCTCTTACATATGGAATCTAAAATTTTTTAACTCATAGAAACAGAGAGGAAAACGATGGTTACCAGAGACTGGAGGGTAGGGAGAAGGATGATAAAAGGAAAAATATTGATCCATGGGAACAAAGTTTTAGTAATCTACTGCATGGTAATCAGAGCTCATAATAATGTATCTATTAAAATTGCTTTTAAAATAGATTTTTAGCATTCTCACTGCAAAGTTGGTGAGGTGATGAATATGTTAACTAGCTTGAGTTTTTCTACAATATATAGATCAAAACTTTATGGGGGCCCACTTGAATCAAATGTATGAAATATGATATGTCAAGAGCTTGTAATGTTTTGAACAAACAATAAAACAACAACAACAAAAAAAAAAAACTTTATGGGGCTGGGGTTGTGGCTCAGTGGTATGCTTGCCTAGCATGTGTAGGCACTGGATTCTATCCTCAGCACCACATAAAACATAAATAAAATAAAGGCAGTTTGTCCATCTACAACTACAAAACAAAAACTTTTTAAACTTCACATTGTACTCCATAACTTTATATAATTATTATTTGTTTGTTAATTAAAAATAAATTTTAAAACATTTTTAAAAGAAAGAGTTGTTTGGGATTTCATGTCAAATTCAACCCAGTATGAATCTGGCTTTTGCAGTACTTTAGAGTATATAATTGTCACTAAGTACACTTACATGTACTATTTCCTCTTCGATTTTTTTTTCCTTTCTTTTCTTATTTTTGGTTGTTGTTGTTACATGAAACTAGCAAACCATGGCAAGTACACAGCATGGTCAGTATTAAATATTGTTCACCAAAGAAAACTGCTAGCTGGGAAGAAATTTTCCATTTTCTGTTACCTTCATCTTCCTAATTTTTCCTTTTCTCTCTCTCCATGGCTTCCCTGAGGAAATAAAGATGGCAGGAGGAGCTGTTGGGGCTAAGTAAGTAGATTGTTTTCTGAAATGTGGACATGATGGCAAAACATTGCACACAATTCTCAGCAAATCAGAGGGAACTTGCAAAAATTCCTTAAGCCTCATGAAGATTAATGCTCTATTATGTTCTGTTAACCTGGGGCAGAAATTGGAGCTAAATTTGCAGGCAGCTTTGGCAGATTTATGTCTACCCTTGAGATGAATAACATCCATGGTATTTTAGAGGTGAATTCTATGTAAAGTCCATCACAAAGCACATGAAATCACTTCATAATGTGCTGCCACACAGTTAAGTCACCCTTAGGCACAGGGAGGCCCCTTTAATTATTTCTCAGATCCAGCCCATGGTCCTGGAATTAAAGGCTGAACTCTGTAGTGAATTCTAGGCAGAACTTAGAATTCGTTCACTCCTGAATATTTTCTGTAACTTCTTTCTCCCCACTTTCTTTTTCTATCCCCCCCCCGCCCTTCTCTCTCTCTTTTTTATGTATACCTAGTTTATTCTGATATTCATAAGGATATGGCTTTTGCACGGGTAAGAAAAACATTAGAATGAAAATTTCAGGTAAAAGAGAAGACACGATGATTTAGAATTCCCTTCTAATATTCATACATGAGCTGGGCCCTGTGCCATAAGCCTATAATCCTAGCAAGTCAGATGGCTGAGAAAGGAGGATCACAAGTGAGAAGCCCCAAGCAACCTGCCTCAAAAAATAGAAAGGGTTGGGGATGTAGCTCAGTGGTAAAACACCCCAGATTCAATCAAAGCATCATCAGTCCATGAATCATACGTGGGCATATATGGACACCCCAGATCTTGGCAACAGGAGGAAGCATCTATTCTTCCTACCACTGTGATGGCTGAGGTTATAGAATCTGTCTATGGAGTAGGAGTGAGACAGTTATTGCAAAAGTTTAATTTGATTAGCAGTTCTTGCTCTCCATCCAAAATGCCTCCTTTAAGTGTCTTCGTGAATCTTAGAAACATAACTGCAGTATCCCCAAGTCAAAGCCACTGCCTGGTTTCAAAACCAAGGTGCCCCATGGGAAAGTTTTTGAGCGCAGTGACTGCCTATGACAGCATGTACTTATATTTTTCATTTATTTCTCTGTCCATCTAGACCTAAATTTTCCAAGTCAACTTTTCGAGTTCTGTTGTTTTGCATCCTCCTCCTAGCATTTCTCACTGTCACCCCACTTCTTAATGAACCAATGCTCCCTCCTCACAACCAAGAACCAAGGAATGAAAATGTCACTGTGAGGAACATTTACATTGTTTTTATTTAGATTTGTATTATGAACTGTATTCCAACTATATATTGCCTAAACTTAAGAAATGAATATAATTATATATTTATATAATTTACATAATTATATATTTATAATTATATAATTATAATTTGTATAATTCATCATCTGAGCATTTAATATAAAATGCAAGGAACATCCCTCTGATCAAAATAAGTAGAAAATAAAAATTACTTACCCATTATATGTATTCCTGTCAGGTCTCATGGATCTATTGGAAGCAGGTAAAATAGAAGCCATACTTTGTATTATATGGATATCAGGAAAGAGAAAGAGTGTGATTTGCTTTTAAATTATAGTTCTAATGATAATTATTCAGCTCCAAGTAAGGATAATGTCGTTCCTTAAAACTTATGTTTCTTCTGAAATTGTTGATGAGTTCTTCCCTTAGAATTTTACTCTCTTACTAATTAAAAAATAATCTCCCTAACACAGCCTTTTATACTATAGTCCAGTTCTTAGAATATCACTTCCCCAAGAAGATAGGCTCCCTTCGAAGGTTTAGCATCCTATCTTTTTGGTTAGTTTGTTAACTATTGACCAGAGCACCTTTCCATTACATCTGACCTTGGTCTCTACACGGTTCTGGGATAGTACACAGACTTATTTACTTTGAGATAACTGTATATAGATACAAGTCCTCTTTCAGTTTTCATGAAAATCCCACCACATTATCTTAAAAAATGTGTCCAGTACACGTGAGAACTTTCAGTTCTCAAGCATTTCATTTTCCCACCCCCATCCCACCCCTTTCCAATGTGCTTTCATTCTTTGTGATCACAAGGAAAACATTCAAGGTCGGGACCTCAGAATCTCCCTTTATCTGAACTTTGCCCATTCAAGTTCACACAGAAGTTCTGATAATCAAACAAAACTTGCTTCTCAGTTCCTCCTCACTTAGTTAAATCCTAGGTTGTCTCTAAAATCCACTAAACCATCTCTCTGACAATCCAGGCAAATAAATTATAGCCTAATATTTTCAGAAAAGAGAGTCTCTGTTAAGAAATCTATGAATTCACTACCTCTGTTGATGCTTCTCACTTTTCCTTGGGATGAGGGAGTCTGGAAGGCTGTAGAAGAACTCCATCCTGATGTTTTTTTCTCTTGGCTCCCATGGCTGTCAGCTCAAGTTCTATGCTGGTGAGAGCTTCAAGAACACTGGTCTCGGGCTGGGGATGTGGCTCAAGCGGTAGCGCATTCGCCTGGCATGAGAGCAGCCCAGGTTCGATCCTCAGCACCACATACAAACAAAGATGTTGTGTCTGCCGAAAACTAAAAATAAATAAATAAATATTAAAAAATTCTCTCTCTCTCTCTCTTAAAAAAAAAAAAACAACAACACTGGTCTCTTGGCTTTCAAACAAATCAAAACCTAAAATGTTTATAAATGCCAAATAGCAGTAGGTATGAGGCATTTCTCTTGAAGAATGCCCATAGCAGCCCAGAGCCGAATGCTTGTACCCCAACTGGGATCTCCAGTTATATGTTGCTCCACTTCCTGATAACAATCCTTCTTGGCAAACTCCTCCAGTTCTATGGTGGCCTATTTCAGTCCATCTTGGCTAGCCAACAAAGTTTTCAGAATGGGAAGGAAAGAGAATAGAGAAGTCTATGTTGGGGAATAATGAATGTAGCCTAAATCTTGCCACTGCCATTACCAAATAGACATTTTTAATTTTGCCCTGGATATCCAAAAGTCCCTAAGGAAACCTATCTTGGAAAAGGAAATGACAAATACAACGGAAATGAAGCCTGAACATGTGTCTTGCCTTTGTAGCCTGGACAGTTATTCCTGTTTGTCATTTATAATAATACCTGTCTCTTACTTCAGGATCACCTTGAGCTGGTCTACTTGCTGCTCTTTCCCAACAATCGCTGGCAATTTTGAGTCTTGTGCCCACTGACTACCACTGGGACCTGTACACTTTCATTTGTATTCCAGGCTACATCTTTGCAGTTATTTTTAGGGCAATGAGGAAGACCACCAAATTCCAATTTGGCATTTTGCCTCTGCCTCTGACAGGTGAAAACGTTAGATAATTAGGTAAGTGTTAAGTAATTAATTACCCCAGTGAACTAATTAGACTAATTAACATGTCTGTTTCCAGTGCAGATTCTGTTGGCTGATAACCTTGGTCACTGACAGTGCCAAGTAATGCTATCTAAGATGTGTAGACTGTCCTGGACCTGAAAGTGGTCATCATTTGAAAGACGTTCACAACAGTCTTGCAGAATCTCTAAAAGTAGAGTATTAATGTCTTCTGAGTCTAAAAGTATTCTCTTTAACCTTCTCACCTTTCTTTTTTTCTTTCTTTTTCTTTTTTTTTTTTTTTTTTTTTTTAGGGAGGGTCTAAATTGCTGAGGCTGGCCTCAAATTTGCAGTCCTCCTGCCTTATCCGTTGGCTGAAATTACAGGGTGTGCTACTGCACCCATCTCAGTTCCCAATCTTCTGAAGAATCAATCTTACTCTTGTGGCATTTTGTTTCTTGACAATTTTTCTTTAATTGACTCTATTGCAAAAGGCCTGTCACCCTAATGGGAATGATGAAAGATTTTATTTTCAGAAAGAATGCACGGAAGAGTGCACAAGGCCAATGCAGGTCCAGCCTCTGGGTATTTTGCAAACAAACAGCTCTATGCCAGCAGAGGCCCATGACTCCAAACAGCCCTGTGATCAGAAGGGTCCTGCATCAGCCCCATGTGACCCATGTTCAGCCGTATTTGGCCTGTGATGAAACCCTTCACTTATCATCTCCTTCCACAGTGCCAGCATGTTCATATTCTTGCTCCATGACAATTTTCTATCTGACTTAGTTCCAACTCTGACTCTCTGATGTTGGAGTCCTGGTGTGCTAGGTCTGTCCTCAGGTGGCATGATTTCTGCTGAGCCTGCGAGACTTACATGTGTGGACTTAGAACTGTACTTACCCCCTAAAAAAATGATCCTACCACTCTGGGGAGGGACAGAACTAGGAATTTGAACCTCCCAGAATATTAATGTAAGGGCCTGGGCATCTGCCATGTGACAAACTGTGCCAACCCTGGGATAAGAAGAGGTGGGTGGTGTCTGCTCTAAAGGAATTTACATTCTATTAAGGAAGAAAGATGAGCAGTAAAGAATATAGCAGGCACAGTGAACTCTCAGAGCCACCAAAGCAAGACTGGGGATTCAGGAGGCTTCTGGGAAGGCGTGACACCTGGGGTGTATCTTGAGGAAAGATGTAAACTGTTGCTCATAAGGATGGGGCATATATGGGAGACCCATGCCTCTGGCCCAGGGAACAATGTGTAAAATACAGAGTTGACAGAAATCATTGCATTTAGGGAGTAGCTCAGTATGGTTTATGTTTCCAAATATTTGTACCAGAAAATCTCAGATGGAACCTTGGTGGCTTTCAGATTTTGAGATTTCTAGCATTAAAATAAAAGTTTAAAAAGGCCCAATAAAGATTCTGCTAATTATTATACATTTTAAAATTTTACATTTAATGAATAGATATCTTAACTCTTTCTAATAATGTAGTTTGATCATGCTACCCATGAGACATTGCTGAGCTTATCTTTTAAATCCTTAATTCATCATACACAGTAAGTTGTTAATGGAACACAAGTTTAAAGGTGGCTTAATGATTCCCACTTCATTTAGCCCACTCAGTGAGTGTACACACTTAAGCATATAGTCTAGTTCTAGACTAAACGTCAATCACCCTCTTCTTCAGCCCACAGGGATAGGCCTGTCTCCTGGAAACTAGGTCTTGGGGATATTTCTCTTCTCCCAGACCAACATGTTCTTCCCTGGGACCAGAGTCTCAACTCTTGGGACACCTCTCCATAAGGCTCCCAGCAAAGATTGTACTGATTCATCTGAGGATGCAGCAAGCATCCCACCCAGGAAACAGTCTCTCTCTCTCTCTCTCTCTCTCTCTCTCTCTCACACACACACACACACACACACACACACACACACACACACACTCCAACCTCAAAACCCATGGGAAGCAAAGTAGAAATGCACTCTAGGTCTTTCAGGATGGATGGAGAAACAAAGGGTCCTACCCCTTCCACAGCAGAGTCCCCTGATTTGCCATCTCACCCATAGTACTATGAAAAACAGCTCTAAAAATATCTTAGGCTATCCATTCTGACATTATGCAGTTTATTTATGATTTCATTTATTCATCCAATAAATATTACCTGATCATACACTATACTCCAGGAAGTATAAGAAATGCATAAAGGATAAAGGCATAAATAAGACAGTTTTCACTTCTCTGTTTTCTTCTGCATTGGTATTCCTTGAACAGAGAAGACACAAGTTGCCACGCCTCCCACACTGACCTTCCGGTTGAAACTAATGCATTAGGCATGTCTTCAGTGCTCTCTTCTTCATGTCAAATAACTAAAACTTTTCTCTTTCCTTAAGTGTTTGTTTTCTGATATACAGATTGAAACTGCATAAGATCCTTTATGGAAGAGGAGAACTACTAAAAAATACACAATTCTTTCCTTTATGGTGCAGACATGTTTCAATTTGACATTATTACACACAAGTGTAAAGAAAATGTATCTCATTTTCTATTACTTATTTAATCTTTCTCACTATTGGATGTCAAGGAAGAGGGTGGTAGCTTTAAATTTTCTAATTCATAGCATCTTTTTACTTGATTGAATAGTCTCACTAGACCACTCATTTTCTTTTAGACACATGCTCAGTCTATCCAATTTCCTATTTCAGTCCACTACTCCTCTCTGAGTGACATGTACTGAATGGGGTGGGAAAGGAGGGCTTACTTAATTTCTTGGTAATGACAAAGAGGAGGGCTTCTGAGTCCTTGAGTCCTTGAACTCAGTTCCTTTGCCATCCTTTGGCTCTGTTGTGAAGCAGCATCTGAGAAATTGTCCACTGTATTTTGTGAGTGATTTGTGGCTCTCTGAGCATGGTCTATGGGTTTCTGAATGGCCCCTCTGAGAAGTAGTTAGACCCATCTAGTCTTAATGGAGCTTAATACTGGCACTCCCTCCTCACAGCCACTATGCTGGATGTGGGCCAGAGGTGAACATGGAGCTCTCTTAGAAATTCAGCCTCTCCTGGGCTGCATGGAATGCTACAGCCACTAGCTCCTGTGTTCTCATCTAAACCACTCCCTTGAATTCACCTCCCAAAGCGGATGGTGACCAAAGCCTTGGCTTGCTTCTCCTTAGTCCTCCTGCTACCTCACTCACACAGCTAGAAGGTGAG